TACAGTGCAATTCCTCACCATCCCTTGACCAATGTCCAGCCTGTTCCTGGCTAGTGATTTCAAGTGCAGGTAAGTCCCAAAACTGCAATCCCAGAAGAGAGAGAGAATAGGCCTCAGGAGCAGAATGATGGGAGAGACCCTCCAGAGATGGCAACTATTGAGAAAGAGAGGCCATCCCCCAAAACTTTCTGATTTATAGTGAGCATGACGTTACATGGTATGGAAGACTCATTTGCCGATTTAAGCGTCAATCGCCCTGGCCACGCTCCTCCCAGGTTTTTGGACTCTGGGTCCTTATCAAAAACAAGCTGAAAAGTCCTTGATCACTATGGATACCTGCACACCACAGTTGGCAACAAACTAAAACAAAGTGTCTTACCAACTTGGTTCTCACCTGATCACGTGCTGCAGTCTACTTGAAAATGCAGCGTACTTCAGGAATGCAGCTTTTCTGAACAGAAAATTGATTCTATCCCTGTGAAATCAGGACACCACCTCACCAGCTGCACCCTGCTGCTGGGTGCCGGCAGGGCCCACCCCAAGCAGGTCCCACTGCCCTAGAGGTTCCCACAGGAGGGTTGCCCTCCGTGACTCACAGTGCAGGTATGCTGGGTGGTGCCGCTGCTGGCAGGCATGGCTGCAACGGGGCTTGGCACAGCACTGCGCAGCCTGTTATGGCGCAACATGGCTTTGTCTGGCATGGCATGGCCCACCATGGACCAACACAGGTCAGTCTGGTGTGGCTTTGCCTAGCGCAGCCCACATGGCTCAGTGCAGCATGGTTGGGCTTGGCCTGGCATGACCAGCTCAGCTCAGCGCCGTTCAGCATGGCCCACCCCAGCCCCAGTTCTGGGAAGAAGCTGTGCACTGCTGTCCTTCTAGTGCCAGGGCTGAACACAGTGATCCCAATGGGTGTCACCAACTGGGGGGCTCCTTCTCCTCCCCTTGTGCCTGGCTGCAGCTGGAGAGGCTGTGCTCGCACCGCCTTGCTGCAGGAGCTGGCATCCAGATGCTCCCCCCAGGCCTTTGCAGAGCACCTGCTTTCTAACCCACCCCACCTTGCCCCAGAGGGGCAAATCCTGGCTAAGCAGATTGCATGTAGAGTCAGGAGCTGTGTCCCTTGCCTAAAGCGGGGGGACAACCAGGACCCTCAAAACCAGCTGTGGCATAGTCCTGCTGCTGCACCTACAAAAGAACGCTCCAGCCCTGGCCAGGATCCACTGGAGCTGCACTCTCCCCATTCCCACATAGGAGAGCCCATCACAGGCAGCTTGTTCTGCCCACCCTGGTGGGGAGGAGGCTTTGGGGTGCCCTGCTCCAGGGTACCACAGTGGCCGCTCCACCTTACCCTCAGCCAGAAGGTGGCTGTCACTTCCCACAGGCTGGAAAAGTAGGGGAGTCCCTGCCGGGGTCACCAGCCAGCTCTGCACCCAGCTGCAGGCAGCAGCGTGCGCTTTCAGACAAGGTGCAAGCAGACCCCTGCAATGCCAGGGCTTGTTCCTGCTTTGGGCTTGTGCCTGAACGTTTCTATCAGCTGCTTCTCCAGCCTTGAGCATTGCCGACTGCTCTGCCTGCTCCAATCCACCCGAGACAGTGCCTGTGCTTGCTGTGACCTCATTCTTCTCTGGTTCATCTCTTGCCTCATTACCCCTTGGTGGCCTTTAAAGCCATTTTCACAGCCGACTCCTCTGGGGTAGAAGACAGCTCCAGTCTAATCCTGTCACACAGGCTGTCCCATGTCCTGCCCCTCATGCATTTCCAAACACCTGCACAAATATCTGTGCAGTTTCCTTATTCTCTTCCCTCAAGCTTCCCTTTGCAGTGATGCCTGCAGGGGCCTGGAAGCGGCACCATTCTTCCTTTAGTCTTTGGTTCTCTTTATCTGTGCCCAGGCGTTGCCTCTTCCCAGTCCTTTGGCTGCAGCAGAAGGAAAGCTTTTTGTCCCCTGCTCATGCTGTGCTGCTGGCACATGAACCCACAGAGCCTGAGCACAGCGAGGTGGGAATGGAGCTGGGAGCCTGGGGTCACTTATCCGTCTCTCAGAGGCCTGCCCCACACCTCGCCTCTCCATTGCACCATCCTTGGAGCAACGGCCACTGTATACAAATCAACAGCACACAGCAGCTGCCTGGGAACCATCCCAGCCCCGGCCTGCAGCAGAGCGCAGCAGGGAGCAGCCCTGGGGGTTGGCTGCTTAGGGAATGGCAGAGATACCACCAGCGTCACACAGCAGGAAAGCATTCCCAGCCGTGCTGCACTCCAGCAGTCTAGCACTCTTTCTCAGAGGCTTCAGCTGTCCACCCAAACCAGGCTGGCAGTTGCCCCTAAGGCTACCAGCAAAACTCCCCTCTTCTCCCATACCATTCCAAAAGCATCCTCCCCCATCCCAGCCTCAGTGCATGCAGCTCTCCATCCACCTGCTTTTAGCCTCAAAGCTTTTAGCTTTGATGGCTCTGCAAGCCGGAGGGAGAGCCCACTCGGTCTGGGAGAGCCCGTGAGCTGGGTTCCCAGCAGGCGGGCAGGGCTTGTGCTCATGCAGGGGGAGCACACAACCCCCACTCCTCCTTTTGCACCACGCATGCTCCCACATCCCTGCTGCAGCTGGGGTCCTCTCCTCCCAGGTCCCAGCCCCCAACCCACTGCACAAAGAAAAGACTGCAAGAACAATAGCTCTTTTTTTCCTTTTTTTCTTTTGTACACAAATATATACAGGGTATTATACACATCTCTACACAGACAGTGCCACTCAGAACACACAGCTCTCCATGGGCAGAGCCCCAACAGCTGCAGAGGCAGCCCCAGGCCACGGCCATACCTATAGAGACCGGAGCATCCCAGCCCACCTACTGGATTGGGGGCAAGGGTGGTAGGCAGGTGCAAGAATAGGGAAGCAGGATCAACATCCTCCCTGCCCCAGGCTGGGAGCGGACCGGGAGCTCTTGGCTCACATGTTCATTTAATTTCTCGCCCGACCCTGGAAGGGGCAGGGGGCAATCAC